CAGGTCGTCAAGCTTGGTGGTAAGTGCCTTTACCTGCTGAGCCATCTATTGGTTCCATATTTTATTCTGTTTCTAAATTAGTTGGCCCCATACTGACCACGGTACTGCCCAGGCTCTTCTTTCCTCTCATGGTATGGGGAACATGCAGGAATATCTTCAGACTACATTGTGATTTGTCTCAAATATACTTGAGGTCTTGAAATGATTATTTAAATGTATACATTCTAGAAACTGTTGTGGGCGATAAACATCACCAGCAAATACTTTCAAATTCTTTCCTGAATTTTGGACTCTCATGAAAGTTACAATTATAATTAGAGCATAATTGCTTGGGGGTCCATTAAGGCCCTCTCGATTTTCTTTGGGCTCTGATCAAGGAAGTCAATATGTGTGTTCATTGCTTCAGTTGAAATGCCTTAGGAAGATCACTGACCAATGGCCATCTTTATTTTTAAAAGTTACCAGATGGGCTGGAGAGATGGCTCAGAGGTTAAGAACACTGTCTGTTCTTGCAGAAGACCCGGGTTCGAATCCCAGCACCCACATGGCAGCTAACAATTGTCTGTTACTCCAGCTCCAGGGGATCTGACAGCCTCTTCTGTCCTCCATAGGCATTGCACAACACGGATGCACTTACAAACATGGAGGCAATACACAAATACACATAAAATAAATAAAATTTATAAAAAAAATAGATAAAAGTCACCAGATAAGGCACTTAGGTAAGCCCCTTCAGTGAGGCACTCCAGAAATGCTTGATCGCATACTTCTCTGCACTAAAATAAATAAATACAATTTTGATTTAATTGTAGTTACTCTGGACTTTCCCTTTTGGAATATAAAATAGAAAAATGTACTTTAGGTCTTTGAACATTAAATTAGAAAGAAAATGCCATAAACATTTTGCTTATGTGCTAAAGAGGTGGTACAAACTGTTCATGATTAATCGGAACATGCATATTTTGACAGATACATACTTATATAATAGCATATGAACATTTTACCGTGTTATACAAGCACTTAACTTTGGAAATATTTAATTTAATATGCTTTAAACATTTTATATTTATTGCTGCATTCATTATGGCTATACAGGCTAATGACTATAAAATATTGTAATATAATCCTCTGTCACATGAGTCTTCGATGAGATAATCCCATCTCTAATGGCACAGACTTTTAGCCAAAATAGAAAGTAGGAAATCAGGTTTTTCTAGTTTGAAGAATTTTTTTAATGTATATTTTTTATTGAGTTTTTGTGCATTTCCTATAATAGATCTTACTCAAGTTTAGTCCCCCTCCCCCATCCATTCTTCCAAGAAGCCCTTCCCCTCAGATTTCATGTATTTTCTCATATATGTTCAGGCTTACCTAGTCAAGCATTTGTACTGACTTCCCTCGGTGAAGTTCATCCACTGGAGTCTACTCAGCCTATCTAAAGTCACTCCCTTAAAGAAGATCTGCTGTCCCTTACCCCACAGGAAGAAGAATCTTTTTTAAAGAAAAAATAAAAAATGAAAAGCAGATCAACTTAGGGAATCTAAATCACCCGCCCTTCTATTTTGCCAGTATATATATATATATATATAAAAAAAATGCATGTCTTTACCTGGTATTCTAGTTTCTTCTCTGTTTCTGTGATAAAATTCTCTGACCAAAAGCAATTTGGGGAGGAAAGGGTTTAGTTGGCTTACCCTTTCAGGTCACAGTCCATCATTGAGGGAAGTCAAGACAGGAGCAAAAGCAAGAGCGTGAAGCAGAAACCATGGAGGAACACTGCTTGCTGGCTAACTCTGGCTGGCTTGAAGGATTATGCTTAGCTAGCTTTCTTATACAGCCTGGACCACCTGCCAAGGAATGGTGTTACCCACAGTGGGTGGGCCTTACATCAGCTACCAAGACAATCCCCGACAGACAAGCTCACAATCTGATCTAGGAGGTTTCTCAATTGAGGTTCCCTCTTCCCAGGTGACTCTAGGTTGTGTCATATTGACAATGAAACTAACCAGCACACCAGGTTTCAGGTTTAAAAAAAAAAAAAAAAGACTTAATTGAAACAAATGGAGTCTTGCCTGAAATTTCTTAGGAAAAGTTCACTTTCTAGAGTCAGTCAGACTATCTGACTTTGAGCTGTGTTTTGATTGGCAAAATTCATTTAGGTCATCACAGTTCGTTTTTAATTTCTTAAGTAGGACATACATATAACTTATTTTAAAAGACCAGAATACCTGTCATATCTGAAAATGTATGCTGAATTTCTGAAATAACCTGCTAATCAGCCTCATCTATGGATCATTACCTGCTGAGAACTTTGATGGCAGAAAATGAGAAATCTGATGCAACTTTCCCAAAGTTTTTGCCTGCAGGAAGCAGAATTTTATGAAAAATGGATAGGAAGACTGATTCATTCTGTAGGAGAGATGCTAACTGTCTAAAACTTTTTCAACTGATACAGATACAAAAGTGAACAATTCCTTTGTCTTGTTTTCCCATATCGTTACTTTCCAGAAAGAATGTTTTGTAAGACTAATCTATTTTAAACTTTTACACCTTTATTTGTTAGGTCTGTTGCAAGAAAGTATCCTTGCCTCTTTAGAAAATGACAAATGGGCCTGTCTGGTGACTCTGGAGTGGGGCATGAGAAGGGCCTGAATCTTCACGTTGGCACCCCACACCCTCCTGGTCAGGCCCCTGCAGCAGGCGAAGCATCCAGCACTCTTACGGCTTTGCCCATTACCCTTTCTTGTCTCTGATTTAGTCCATTACAGTTAAAAGAACTGAAAAAGCCTCCACGCTCCCCCCTCCCGTAAACCATACTATTTAATGGAAGAAATGACAAGGTGAAATGAATGCATGTTCTTATGTGGCTCCTTGGAAGATGGGGCTTCTCATTAAACTATGAGACCAAATGGTTCCTTCATAACATTTTTCTCCTTCCAGATTTCACCAGAATCAAGTTTATTGTTACTGGATCATTTGTGAGAGTTCTGCTGTATCGTCTTCTTTTTCAGTAACTTAAGATTTCAAGTCATCTTTTTGACTAGGAATAATAGGAACTATTAATGCTAGTTAGTCTAGTAATGATGGATGATTATTCTTTAAAATATTACGATTACTAATATAAGAAAACTCTACTGTACCCTGAGCTATATTCTAGAGCTTTGTTAATTTTTCATATCTTGAAAATATCTATTTGTAGATAGGTGCCATATTAGAAATACAAATAAAAGCATTTTAATAGACACATTTATTAAATGCAGGAATTATTTTGCATTTAAAGTCATATGACTTCATTTGAAGAATGTTCTGATATAAAAATGTTTACTAACATCAGAGATCCTTTTTTATACTGTCTCCTTTGATAATTAACCCTAGATCCCAATATGTAATTGGTGAAATAGTACAAGTTATTAAAATGACATTGTTTATTCTATTATGGTAGTTCTGAGTGTAATACTCAGGGAGAAAAGCCATGTCACTGCATTACAAATTAGTTTGCTTCTAATTTTGCAGGCTGATGACCACAGTGCCTCAAACCAAATCTTTTCCCTGGAAAAGGAATGATTGCATGACAGACTCTATGAACCATGAATATGTCAACAACCCATGGACCAGGCCTTGCTTAGCAATTAGTGTTTAGGGGATTTTATTCAAAAATCAGACAGTACTATACCAGAGCTTGTTGGGGATTTTGTGATTACCACTCATGTCTAGATCATGAGTCTGGGTTAGTTCAAAACAGTTCCATAAAGGAAGAACTGCTGCTAACAGTGGTGTGTGCACTCACACATGCACACACTCGCACACACATGTGCACAGAGTCAGATGAGAGGGAAAAAAAACACCCAAGATATAGCAAAAGTCCCTGGGTTACAGTCAGGAAATATTTTTTAGATCTGTAACATCTTTTATTCCCCTAAAAGAAACCAATATTCTCTAAGTTCAGTCATTTGAACATCACCATTTTGATTTTAGTATAACTTCTTATTACCTGCCTGCACTATAATTTACTGAATATATTTTATTTAACATTCTTTAAAAGACTGTCTCATTTTAAGCAAAAATCAGTGTGATAATTGTGGGTTGCTTTTGCTAAATTGTTTTCTTCTCATATAAAGGAAATGAAATGTAGCATTTTAAATGTTGGAAATACTTGCATATCATCTAGATTGACTCTGAGCACCCTTATAGACATGGTTGAAGGATCCTCCAGATGCTGAGAGGACCCCTCCAGTCTGTCTGAGAATATTCTGACACCCTCATTATCATCCCTTCATCCAGTGCCACATTAGGTGGAGAGGAAGTTAAGTCAGGCCTGTGTGTCCCTGAGGTGGTCAGAGCTGGAATGCGGCTTTGTAGGAGAATGCTGTGAGCCAGGCTTGTCGCTGCTGATTGCCAGAATTTGGCCACCGCAACTTTTCCTTTTTTTTTTACTAAACACATGGCTTGGGAATCATTATATTGCAAGAGTAAACAACAGCCCGTATCGTTTAACAGTGACAGGGAACATGCATGGTGGAACCTGGCCCCTGACTGTCAAAAGTTCACTTGAGGACATAGTATTTGGAGGTTCAGACATGACACTTTGCCCGACTCGATGCCCAGCTCCTAGACTCTCAGCAGGATCTTCGAAGAAATGGACCATTTGTTTTATAAGTTTCTTACCTTTATTACGGGAGCTGGTTGACTATACGGATTAAGACTAGGTTAAGAAGTCCTAGGAACTCCTGTAGCTTTGTAGTCATGTTCTGGTTCTTAAGTAAAATGGCTTTTGGAAACAGAAGCACCCCCTCTCACCCCTCAAAGGAGAAAAACAAACAAAAGCACTCACAATCTTTCCAACCTCTACCCCCAAGAGTTGGTTATCTCCCTGCATCAGAAAATGGTGGGGCCTGGATGCTGCAGCCAGACCCCAGGAGCTCTGTCAGGTTTAGAGTGTGTCTAAATGTGAAGGGATGTTTGCTTCTGATATGAACATTTTTCTTATACTTTTATTATAGAAGATGATGTGTCAAATGTACAAATAATGTGTGCCTGGTGCCAGAAAGTGGGAATCAAGCGCTATTCCCTGAGTATGGGAAGCGAGGTGAAAAGCTTCTGCAGCGAGAAGTGCTTTGCGGCCTGCCGGAGAGCCTACTTCAAAAGAAACAAGGTAAGCCTCCTTAGACAGGCCGTGCGGCCGCCCTCACGTGCGCATGCGCCTCCAGCCCTAGCCGGACACGCTGTGCCCCTGCCACTTGCGTATTTTTAGTTTGTTTTTTTCTGTTTGCTTCCTCTGTCATGTTTAACCTTTTGGAATTAGAAACCCCTTCCTAACATAACCCGCCCATCAGTTTCTCTTGGTTGGTGTTGAGTTCTGAGAGGGTGAATCTGATGAAGACACCGGGATGCCAGCTGGTATCCTAATCCGAGGTGACTTTCCAGCAGGAGACTGCACAGTCTAGAGCCCACGAGAGAGAAGTGGCAGAGGTCTCTGACGAAAAGCCGAGAAGCTAGCTGCAGAGTATGGACAGAAAGCTTAGTCCGTCCGCTCGGCTTAATGCTTCTTCCCAGTGGAAGTGTGGCTGTTTCTTTTTCCAAAACCCGACTCATAGATTGTAGTTAAGAAAAAAAAAAAAAAAAAAAAAAAAAAGTCAAGCCTCTCTTGACATGCTATCTTAAAGTTGATTGATCTTGACAAAAGGGGAAATGATGAATAAGTAAGCTAACATCTAAACAGCCGAGCACTTGTGAGGCATGGTAGATAAACACAGGAACAGCCATAGTCATAGTTTTGACTCTTGTTTTAAAGGACATTCTAGGTCTGAAAATAGCCATTTAGAATAGTAGTAGCCGTTCTTGATGAGAAAGGGAATGCATGATGCTTTTACAGTTACACACATACACATTCACACATTAACTTCTCAATCCTTCAGGAACTGCTAGAGCCTTCTGAAACCAAGTGATGAAGTCAGTTCGGATTATTTTTCATCGATCTGTAAAGCCTTAATTCATAAAACTGTCCATATTTTGCTAAACATTTGCATTTCTGTTTCTGCAATACAAGATCAAATCTGTCCATTCTTGAAGTAAAAAATTATATTTTTAAAGTCTACTACTTATCCTAGAATGCTAATTATGGGCTCACTGCATTGCAAGAAACACTGTTGCAGCAAATTATCTTCTGCAAATTTGGGTCACATTCATTCTGCCAAAAACATAATGCCTGAAGAATTAGGCTGCAGAATCAGTGGGGTGAAATTTTAGTAGCAGTCTCTAAGAATTAGCCTCATAATCTTCACTGGAACTGGGAGGCAAGTGAGGAAATTGTCTGGAATTCTTTGGGGATGATCAACAGTTTACTTTCCCTTGGAGTACGGGAGACACGTTTTGTTTTAATATAGGGGGATTATAGAGATCTCCAAGAGCCTGGGGCTCCCATTCTGAATGCTGAGTACTAGGGTAACAATCCCAGGAGTGGGCCCAGCACTTTCTTCTTCAAAAGCCCTACTTACCACAACAAAATACTTAGCATTCCTCCAATGAAGATGGCTATACAACAGGGCTTTTTTTCTTTCTAGAATTTTGAGGGTTAAGGGGTCTGAATCTTGAATGGCTGCTTGTAGTGAATAAGCCCAAGCAAGATTCATTTGTCACAATCCTAATGATACATGTTACACTTGATAGTCTTTGTAGTAAGCCTTTGAAGGAAGGCATCTGATGTCATTGGAGAAGCAGTCCAGAATACTACATAAGGGTTTTTAAAAATTATCATTATAAAGTTCAAGGTCAAACTGAGTGCAAGCCTCCATAGCATTCAGTTTTGAAAAATGGGTAACAGGAACTAAGATAGGAATTCATATTTGGAATACTTACAGGAGGCAAAATCAGCACTGGGGGAGGACCAGTATACTTTACTTTCTGCCTGGAGCTACTGGGGCAAGTCTCCGGCATCTTGCAAAACTCAGGAGTTGCTATGGTTTGATGTTTAGCCAGTGAATGCCTGATGGTCTCTGTGGTCCGTTAGTATGCAAACAATACCTGTCTTCTCTCCTCTTCCCTCTTGTATGTGTGTTCCAAAGCTCTGCCATACTATGCCTGTTCGGTTTTTCCAAATAGAGAAATAAACTTGCTACATCGCCCTCTGGATTCTTTTATTTTTAAGAATGTTATCTTTGAAACATCATTCTATTGTATTACTATAAACATGTACAGCTGCTGCATTTCTGTTAACTGATAGGATTTTGTGGTCATTTCATTTAGGGATTAGGTTTCCTAATGGCTTGTATTAGATCCCAGCCCTGCATCCTGCCATTTCTAAGAACTGCTGTAATAAGCCCCAGAGTGTTCCCCACTGCAGACAATGGCAAATAGCTACTTCTCTTCTTGTATCATTTAACAAAGTCCTTGGTCTTCATCATTAGAATTGTGGACTTCATCTTAGAAATAGCAAGAAATTCTCCCCAATCCTACATAACAGTTTTTTTCCTGTCTAAATCCTGTGTTTTTAAATACAGAGCAGTATATAGAAAACAGTGAATTATGCATGTACAGACTAGAGTTTTGTCTTAGGTATAATGTAGATTTTTTTAATGTAAAATTAACTATGCTGTAAATTATGCTTTATAATGACAGCCTATTTCTTGCTAGATATCGTGCTGGGATCTAAAAATGGTCTCTAAGTTGAACCCAAATTGCATGCATAACTTTACAAAAAAAAATCCTTATAGAAAAGGTAGCTAATTAGGAGCAGTATTCAGCTGACCTCTGTTTTGTGTCTGAGCAACACCTGCATTTGTGAATGTAAATTGGACAGCTGCGCCTGTGGGTCCCTGTGCTCGCCACATCACAAATGCTTGGGTATAGAGGCAGCACGGCGTTGCTGCTAAAAACAGGACAAAAATAGCCCCATACTTGAAATGAAGGCCCATGAAAATGGGATCTTTAAATTTCATTTGCTTCTCAAACCTTCGTTTTTTTATTTGAGCCTCTGTGTTGGTTGAAAAATGTCAGATTCATTCCTCAGAAAGCTTGGCACTATGAAGTAAAGTGGAATGATGGAAGCCAAGTTAACCTGTTATGGCATGCGGGGTATATTTTTAAACTGAATTTAAATTTTATTTAAAAGTTATTTGGATTGCTGCAAGCATGTAGCATTTTACAAACTGCTTCTGTGAAGCTTTGCTAGAAGAGGCTCATGAATCACAGCTGTATTCACTTAAGGAATCCAACTAACTAGAAGTTTACACATGGCAGGATGTTGGCTCTGATAGGTCCATAGTGTTAATTCATAATATATCTTATAGAACCCTGATTTCTACAGGGTTCAATTACTGACTCAAAGGTTTTTAAAACAGTGGGAGGAGGGGCTTATATAGTCTCTAGGCATTGGGTTGAACAATGGGGTGTCAATCTATTTGAGACAGGGACGACTTCTCAGAGAACGAATAGCCGACTGTTTTCCTGGCCCCCTTTTGAGGCCACAGTAGAGCAGGACTTGAGAACATTTTTATCCTAATAATTCACAGGGAGCTAGGATGTTACAAAGCCTCTTAGTAGTTTTGCAAGCGATACGGGAACATTGAGTTTAACTTTTAATATCAGTCTTTCTTTGTGAAATAACAGACTGCTTAAAAATTCTAAGCATTGCCCCTCTAAAAAGAGGATAGTAACAAGACCACAGTCATTTCCAAATAACTTGCCTTTGAAATATTTCCTTTTGCATGGGAAAGAAATATCTTGTTGTCTAATATCTAAAAATGAAACAGGAAGTCAAAACTGAAGAAAAATGATCAATGTAGGTAAGGTAAAGTATGGCTGTTTTCTTTCCTTGTTCAGATTTCAAGTTTATAGTGTTCTAAAGATCAATAGCATTGGAAATTTAATAAATACAAATTCCTAAGAGCATCTAAGTTTTGCTTTCTCATTCTTATTTCCTCAGAATTTGTAACAGGAATAGACAGATTGTTTTTCAATGTTTGTTGCTGTTCCCCAGTGGACGGCATAGTGGGACAATCCTTACATGATAGACAGAGGTGAGGATAACAGTACATCCAAAGCAGAGATTCTATTGATGGGAACAACACTTGCTAGTGACATCCTCATGGTTTCCTAACAATTGTCATAATAATAGCAAATACTCTATGAGGGGAGTATTGTACAAAAAGTATTTATTTTACTTTCTAACTATCCCTGGGTACACAGCAGTCTTTTATTAAGAGATTTCTTTTGGAAGGATGCATCACTGATTAGCATGTCTCAGTCATGTTATTTGTAATTATATTTTATTTAGACATAAGGTTTTGTCTTTTATTCAAGTTGAGCATATCCTGAGGAAGATTTCTTGGTTTTAGACTTAATTATAGAACCTAGCAGTGCAGAAGAAATGTGTAACAATTGCTCTGTTAATCTAGTGATTAACCTGTCCATTTTTTCCCTTTAAATACCTGTAAGATTTCATTTACAAAATGGCTACCATTCACAAAGCTTTGAGAAGGACATTAAGAAATTACTTGCAATTAATGTTCCCTGACTGGCTGAAGCTCAGGCCACAGTCTTGCTTTTATTTGTTGTAGAATTCCTCCTCTCTCCAGCCTTTGGTTTGTAGGCCAGTGGCTGAGTTCCCATCAGACACAGCAAACAGGGGTGTCCTCAGGAAGCTCTGGGCAAGGAAAAAAATCTGACTATTTTCTTGTTCCCTCATAGTTTGAAATATGGAATGGAATATTGGTGAAATGCTGTAAATGTGACCCCGTGAAAGCAATAGCAGAGAGAGGAAATGTTAGTCCCCAGGAGCATGTTGGAGGTAGGAATAGAGCAGGAAAGTTCTGGCAGGTGAAATATGGTATAGGTAGGTTAAAAGCTTAAAACCCAGGTTTCCAAAGAAAGCCAAAAGGGGACCCAAGACAGAGCTTTTGCAGGTAGGTGGGACACACTGCCCTAAAAATGTCATTAGAAGCTTTGGAGGATAGGCACACAATCATCATATTTACCAGAATCTTTGAAAAGCATGTGAAAACAGTGCTGTAAGGGAGACCTGCACACAGACAGAATGGGGCAAGTGAGCTTCCTTCCAGTTTTTAATGGGCTATGTTTTATAAGATTGGGGGAGAGGGCAGAGAAATAATCCTAACATATTATCCAAAATGTACATCAACTTCTGAATAATATTAA